ACATACATGTTTAAAATGATAAGTAAGGGCTGAGGATATAGCTAGCTGCACAGCACCTGCCTGGCAAACACAAAGTCCTGAGTTCAATCTCTGGTACTGGAAAAAATAAATAAATAAAATAAAATGATAGGTAGAAGAGGCTAACAGCAATATCTCCCCCCACCTTTTAAATCTTGCTATGTAGCCCAGGCCAGCCTTGAACTTGCTATGTAGCCCAGGTTGGCCTCAGACTCAAGATCCTCCTGCCTCAGTATCCTAAGTACTGTGATTACAGGTAAGTGCCACCATGCCCAGCTTTTTTGTTTTGTTTGAAGATAGGATCTTGCTATGTAGTCCAGGCGAGCCTCAAATTAGTAATCTTTCTGCTTCAGCCTTTCCAGTGCTAGGATTATAGGAGTCACCATGTGCTTCAAAGCTCTTTAAGTAATTTTATTTTATTATTTTTTTTATTTTTTGGTACTGGGGATTGAACTTGGGACCTTGCACTTGCGAGACAGGTGGCAGAACCACTGAGCTAAATCCCCGGCCCATCTTTAAGTAATTTTAATGTAAAACCAGGATTACCAATCACTCTTCAAAAAGATATCATTAAAAAAAAAAAAAGACATCATTATTGGGCCGGGGATTTAGCTCAGTGGTTCTGGCACCTGCCTCACAAATGGAAGGTCCCAAATTCGATCCCCGGTACCAAAAAAAAAAAAAAAAAGATATCATTATTTAAAAAAAAAAATCTCATCGTTGTCAAAAACATAAGGAAGTCCAGGGGTAAATATTCCTAGGGGTATGTAGTGACCCCACCTTAGCTAGCTGGTCAGAATTGAGTAAGAAAGAGAAAATTATTCATTGGCTCACCTCTGCATATGATCAGGGCTCAGGTTTGTGGTGTTGAAAACACAGATGTAGTGTGTAGGGATGCCACAGCCTTGCCGTACATGATGGGCAAGAAGGTAGAAATCCACCCTAGAAAGAAAGACCAATTAGTGATATGGTTGGATTTAGCAATAAAGAGCCAGAAGGAATCTTGGAAATCATTCCAGATTCTTCATCTAAGGCTCACAGAGAGAAATGACTAGATCAAGGACACACAGAGACCAAACCAGGATTCACACTTAGGTCTCCATACTAATTAGTTTGTTTGTTTGTTTTTGAGATAGGGTCTCACTACGTAGTCCAGGGTGGCCTCAAATTCATGGTGATCCTCCTACATCAGCCTCCCAAGTGCTGCGATTATAGCCGTGTACCACCATGCCTGGCTCACTAGGCTACTGAAACTGCCTTGTCTGTGTGTAGAAGGTTATGTATACACTATTTTAGGAACAGGATGTATGTTTAATATTTTATATTTAAGAGGTAAAAGTTTTGTTGGTGGTTATAGTTTTTAAACAAATTTTAAGGCTTTAATAGTAGAATCTAAGGATTCCCTTCTACACTTCTCCAGAAAACTTCTTTATTCCAATACCCAGGAAATAGGTAACATCTCCACCCCATTCATCCTTAATACCATCTTTCTTGCCCACTTACCAGTCACAGCTTGTTACTGTATGATCTACCACAGTCCCAGGCAAGGGAGTCATGAAGTGCTCAGGGGCAGCCAGGTATAGATTGGTGCTGATTTTCTTCTGAACTACAAACACCACCATCTTTGGCTGGTAATTCTCAAAAGATTCAAAACACTTCTGTAGCTGAGCAATTTCATAGTTGGCAACTGTCTTTAGTTGGCCATCAGACACTCCATCACGGTATACCACGATCTTCTCTGGTAGACAGTGGTTCACCTGAAATGACACCCTGGATGAAGGGACTCACAAGGCTTTCGGGTGAAGGGTCACAGAGAGAGGCTCATCCAAATCATATAACCTGGAGACCTGGCAGCAGATCCCTGTGACAGCTGGCCCCAAAGCCACCAGGTCTGATAGGCAAAGAACAAAAGCTTCTAATCACTTCTAGGTTCTCTCAAGGTAGTGAAACAGGTCTGGTACAAAGGGGGTTATAAACATAAAAGCAAAACAGGCAAGTATGAGTCACATTCATATAGCTTATCCTCAAACAGCAAATAAAGTCAAAGGGAACAGGAAGAAAATTATGGGCTCCAATCAGTTGTCCTTGGATTAAATACTAGTAACTGTCTAGGTAAAGAACATGGTGAAGCAGTAGAGAAATTCTAACCAATGAACACACCAGACACAGATCCAACATCCTCAAATCAACACACCAGCAACATCCAAAGGTGTTGACAAGTGTAAGGGTTCTTTACTAAGTATCATCTTACAATCAGGCATAATCTGAATTATTGTTTGAATAACTAAGTAATAAATTAAATGTTCCTTAAATCGGTTTGAAGAAAAACTGTTTTTCCAGTTGCAGAATATAACTATGTTTTAGGAGTGTTCAACTTAAACAGTTCAGAAAATAGGTTTGGTTCTACCCTTTTTTTTTTTTGAGACAGGGTCTCACTCTGTAATTCAGGCTGGCCTTGAACTCACTATTAGCCCAGGCTGTCCTTGGACTTTTAAGTATTCTGGATAAGATATGAGATAGAAAGAGCTGTCATCACCCCTTTTGGCTTTGCTACCTTCTGCCCACCATGAACCACTTTTCTTCTGCAATCCCTGTCTGCCTGCCACCCTGCCTTGGAGCCAGCCAACTATGGACTGAAACCCCTACAAACTGTGAACCAAAATAAACTTCTCCTCCTTTAACTTGTGGGGATGTGAGGTATTTTGTCCCAGTACCAAAAAAGTAACTAAGAAATATATGTATGCTACTCTATATGAAAATTTGATTTCAAATAACCCTTATTAAAAGTAATCACCTAGGATAGTGATGGCAAAACTTTTAGAACTTAAAATTATAAAAAAAATCTTACTACAGCACATATGCCGTGAAGTTCTCCACCACTCACCTAGAATCTTTTTCTTTCTTGCTTGCTTGCTTTTTTTGTTGTTGTTGCTGGGGATAGAACTCAGTGCCTCTGAACTAAGCTACATCTCCAGACATTTTTTAAACTTTTATTTTGAGGGAAGGTCTTGCTAAACTGCCCAGGCTTGGGTTTAAACTTTTAATTGTCCTGCCTTATACTCCCAGAGTGCTGGGATTACAGGCAATGCACCATCATGCCCAGCTAGAATCTTTTTGAAGTTTAACTTTAGAAGTTAAAAAAAAAGATTGTAAAATGTTTGCACTAATAAAAAGAAATAAAAATAAAAGATATTCTTGAGAAAGTGAAAAGAAGTTTTAAAAAGAAAAAAGTTTAGAAGTTCAAATATTTTATAAATGTCTCCTTATCTGAGAAACCTCAAGTACTCCAACATTTACAAACATGTAATTCATCCTCACAGTCACTGGAATTACACCTCTGGTTTGTGGTGCTTTTATTTTTGCTGCCTGGCAGCTCTTTCACTTGTTTTGGTGACAGAACTTCAGTTTCCTTCTGCCTCCAACAAGCTTATACCCAGGGTGCCCAGTCCTAACCCAGGGTTTCTCAGCCTCAGCACTGTCAACAACGGACACCAGATTATGCCACTGTGGGGGACTTCCTTGTGCTCTGCAGCATCTGTGGTATCTACCTACCAGATGACAACAGTATAGTAATCTCCCCGTTATGACCCAAAGTGTCTCTAGACACTGCTCCTGGGAGGGGAAAGATGGCCCCAGTTGAGAATCACCACACTAACCACAGGTCATGCAGATGACTCAAGCCATACCACAGAAGCCTCCTCCCTTGCACTATAAGCAGAGAATGAAGACTTGGAATTTGGCTCCTCAGTGGCAGGGCCTCATCATCCCCTGCTTCAGGAACACCACAGCATGCCCTGTGCACATCCATTTCCCAGTTAGGGGCTTGAGATTTTCCACCCTGCCAATTCCCCTGATACACTGTGTTAAGAGGAGGTAAAGCTCAGGAGCTTAGATCTCCAAAAAGCCTTCACTTGACAGGTAAGCAAACAGGAGAGACAAGATTTGGGACTGAGTCTGACTTCACTGCTCCCTAGCTATGCCTGTGAAGCCTCAGAGTACTCACCTGGAAAATGACGAAAAATCATTACCTCACTTTCTTCTCAGAGTTAAAAGCAATAAAGTAAAATAATTTATATGATAAAAATGTATGTTTTTTGTGGTACTAAGAACCAAACCCACGGCCTCATACATTCTTGCCAAATGCTCTACCTGCTAAGCTATACCCTATGTCTTACACTATATATATATAGTATATATTTATATTTAGTATGTAAATATAATATAAATATATATATATTTAGTATATAAATATATTTAGTATATAAATATATATATTTAGTATATAAATATATATATTTAGTATATAAATATATATATTTAGTATATAAATATATATCAGGGCCAGAGCTGAATATTAAGGTTGAAACCAAGACAGATGAAGAAAACAGAGTTCTTCTGAAGCAAAGAGAGGGTTATGATGAAATCAGTAAGGCGAAAACCAGAAATTGTTTGTCTTCAGTGTCACTGCTATCTTTGGCAGGAGCTGATCAGCCCCAAGTGTAAGGCATCACTCTTGTCCCAGGCCTGCTTCAGCAGGACTGAAAGACTTCATGCCAGTTAACACGGAGCTGAGAAATCTAAACATAACTGGCAGTGTTAAATTCTTTATGTACTGTTAAATTCTCAAGGTCATCTAGTCTATTTTCATTTTGTAAGAATATGGCCTAGGGAGAGGTCAGGATAGAAGACAAGTTTCAAAAGGCTGAAATGTCACTGCTGTATATATATGTTATAAAATTACTTCAGTACTCCATAAATGCATGAAACAATAAGGAAGAGTCCTGGAGAGTAGAACTGTGCTCATCCATCTTGATATCCTAGCACTGGGCACAGTGGCAAGGGTCAAGCAGGAAATACACAGTTGCAACGTGCAGCTCCATTCATCCATAGAACACATCTGTAATGTGCATTACAGCCAAGACATTGTACTTGTCTCAGAAAATTACAAAATTAATTTGATACCATCCAAGTGCTTAAGAGCTCAAAACTGGGAGACATGAAGCAAATCCCCTCAAGATGTTATAAATAACAATAAACATGTAAGTAAAATGCTCTGGGACCAGAGGAGCCTAAGAGGTTTGCCCCCAGAAGGAGTGTATCAGGATACATGGAATGAAGGAAGGCCCAGAAAGCATTTCCATAGTAACAACAGAAAAGTTAAAAAAATAATAATAAAAATCACACCTATGTATGGGACTATCAAAGTCCAGCAGATGCAAGAATACCCATCTTCTACAGACAGGAGCCTTCACAGGTGAGCAGTGAATCTGAAGCTCCCCAGCTCAAATGCAATAATGGGTGCTCAGGGTACCACTCCACCCCAACCTCCTCTCAGTTCTGTGAGAAAGGGGAAGTGAAGCTGAAGCTGAAAAGCAAAGAGAACCCACCCATCTCTCATATCCACCAGTGCTGGAAACTTCCTGCTGTTGTCAAAGGGTTATTAAAAATGATGTAGGTCCTAGGGAGCCCAAGCCTCAGCCACAGCCCGAGTCACCTTAGCAGCAGTCAAAGTTCAGGCCAAATAACAGACTGACTCAGTATTTGGGGCTTCATCATTCATGTGATAAAGCAAAGGCAGGTGTCAAAATCACTTTTTCACACCTGAGTGGAGGAAAACAGAGCTCAGACCTCAGATCAGGTGTGCGTGGCCTAGGAGACATGCACGTGAGGCCACTTCCCACACCCCTGTAATAAGGCATTCTGACAAGGTCAAATACTAGGAAGGTCATTCCTAGTCAGGTATGGTGGTACAGAGCTGTAATCCCAAGTGGGAGACTGAGGCAGGAGAATTACAAGTCCACGCCCAGCCTGGGCAATTTAGCAAGACCCTGTCTCAAAATAAAAAAATTTAAAAAGGCCTGAGATGTAGCTCAGTGTCAAGGCCCTAGGTTCAATCTTCAGTACTGTAATAAATAAACAAAATGTCCTAACACTACTTTTTCACTTTCATCCTCTCACAAATACCCAATGGGATTTGTTGTTATTGTTTTGTTTTTATGAGACAGTGTTTCACTATGTAGTTCAGGCTGTCCTTGAACTATGCAGCCCAAGCTGGTCTCAACCTCAAGGCAATCCTCCTTCCTCAACCTCCTGAGCTGGGATTGGAGGTGTGCACCACCACCCCTGGCCTGTAATAGGATTTTGTGAATAAATGACCTAGGCCAGTGGTGGCAAACCTATGGGCACATGCACCACAGCAGGCTGTTTGTATCACTGAAGGCCCTAAAAGGTTAGCCACCACTGACCTATGCTATCCCAGTAGACTAATGTAGAATGTCTACCTAGCTTTCATTAACATCCATAGTACATCTATTTGCAAAATTAAATAGTGGCGTGGTTTTCACTAAAACTTTAGTTGCTGCCTTTATTTTTTTAGAAGTTGCCTTTAATTTAAAATGCTGTTGCCAGGCATCGTGGCATACACTTATAATTCCGGCACTCAGCACTCCAGAAACTGATGCAAGAGGATCACCTGGAGTTCAAGGCCAGCCTGGGCTACATAGTGAGTTCAAAGACAGCCTGAACTATATAGTGAGACCCTGTCTCAAAAAAAAAAAAAATGAGGGGAGGCTGTTTAAGTTAATATGTACTGAGTTTATTTTTAAGTAAATTAATAAACACTAGTGATTATTGGCAGATATAGACCCATATAAACAAAAACTAAGTATTACTGGGGTTCTCAATAATATTTAAGAATGTGTCTGGGAATGATGGTGCATACTTGTAATTCCAAAACTTGGGAGGCTGAAGGAGGATT